TTTAAAGCCCTGGCAGATAAGAGAAGGGCTGCTAAAACTTAAGGCTGGCCAGTACCTTTCTGCTGCCTGAGGTAAGGGATAAGATGACACTCTTTCCTCATTCCATATACAGAACTTGGCTTGATTAGTAATTTCCTCTTATTTCACATTGGTGATAGGAGTATACTTTGATATACCAGAGGCATCCAAGTAGTTAGGAGACCCAAGAGAATTTGACACACCTTTGGAATGCAGAAGAAACAGCCAGGAGGTTGTCATTACTGTCCCCCAAGCACATGCTGCCTGAGGCAGTCACCTTACTCTGTCAAATGCATGAACAGGAATGTGTGATCCTCTAAGACACTGGTTCCCAATCTTGGGTAACTCCAATGTTCTTGGACTGCAACATCCAGAAACCCTGTCCAGCACAGCTAGTGGCAAAGGCTTCTGGGAACTGCAGTCCAAGAACACCTGGGTTACCCAAGGCTGGGAACCACTGTTCTAAGAAATTATTGAACTGCAACTCCCATTGTCCTTTATTTTTATTTTTTTTTGCTGTGCCAGCTAGGGGTTATGAGAGTTGCAGCCGATAACATTTAGAGTACCACACGTTCTTCATCATTGGTTTCATGTTACGACTGACCCAGCTACAAACCTTGCAGAAATTAAGAATTATTAACACAGTTGCTAATCTCCATAACAATTAATAGCAAATAGAGTGGATTACATGCACTTTGAAGTAATCACCTGTTCATTAGAGGATGCTTATTTGAAACACAGGTGGTAAGCGTTACTCTTACAGTAACACTTAAAGCTGAGAGTCTCAAACTGTGATTCATGATCTCTGTTCAAAGATCCACAGAACAGTTGAGAATATCTGTTGTTGGCACTCCACTTCATTAATTTTTTCCCCTGATGACGGAGATTAAGACTGGGTTATTGAACAGGCTAACAAGGCCTAGAGCCAGTGAATTTCATAATACGGTGATGTGCGGTCTAGTTATTTTTTCCTTTAAAAATTTATCAGTTATAAGCCACATCAGAGGCAGTCACCTAGCCTAGGGCATCTGATTTTCATAATACTGTGCCATTTTTATGGTGGTTGGTGGAACTGAAGAAGTAAATGTTATTAAAATATGATTTATGAATGTCCTTTGATTTGTAGAACAAATATATATTTCTTAAATAGTTTATTGACACTCCCTGACATTTCTGAGATGTTCATAGGAAAAGTTTGGAAATTGCTGGCCTGGCCTGAAGTTAGGACCAGCACAATCTGGCAGCTGCCAATAACTCAATAGGGATCAACTGCAGACCACCAGACCGCTACTGCGGTTTCTCCTTGCCCCAATTACCTACTCTCGTGCTCTGTCACTGTGGCTCAGTGGAGAATGTGTGTAGACAAGCAATGGCCCAAATCCAATTGGTAAGCCTTACAATCAAAGGAAGCTCCACAAGATAAGGTCCCACTGATTTAGTGGGTTTGCTCGAGTTGGGGCCATCAACTGGATTTAGGCCAAGGAGAGAGGGAAGGAGAAGCAGTAAGTCCACCATATTGGTGGGGGAGTGGGGTCAGCCTTTTATGGGGGACCAACAGGAGAGTACAGACCGGGTTAGTACATGGATGAGAAGAACCAAGACTTCAGTGTTGCAGGCAGAAGGATGATCAAAGTACAAGCCAAGTTATGCCATTAAGTACGGTCTTGTGGAAGTGTCAGTTCAAACAGGGAATAGCCAGGAGCATAGTTGAAGTAGCGTCCAGGTCAGGATGCCTGGAGATCAACTGAGTAACAAACTGACAAGACAAGAACACAGAAGTACAGTTGGAGTTATTCACAAAGAGGCAAAGCAAGCAGGAATTTCAAGATGCCAGGCATGAATGTCAGCATGCTTTGTATCAGGAGACAATGTTCCCAGTAATTTTCTCAGCCTTCAATGGAGCCCCTTGTACCTGGGTTGCCCTGTAATCCACCCAGGACTTACTGTAGCTGCAGGCCCGTCAGCATCAGTTCTCCACAGAAAGAGGGCTCTCCTCTCTTGATTCCACAACCTCTCCAGGAGTATGAAGTAATCAGCAGCTGCTTGTTCCTCTGCGCCATTTGTCACTGGATCCATGCCTAAGGAAGATTCCTTCAGCAGAGACATGACAGCCAGATGTAAATGAGGACTAAGGTGCATGTTAGTGCAGTGGTCCCCAACCTTGGGCCTCCAGATGTTCTTGGACTACCACTCCCAGAAGCCTTCACCACCACCTTGGCTGTCCAGGATTTCTGGGAGTTGAAGTCCAAGAACATCTGGAGGTCCAAGGTTGGAGACCACTGTGTTAGTGGATAAGGATCTAGGGGTAAGGCCACTGAGGTCACCTGCCTCCTGGTCCCCTGAAAGAAACCTAAACTTGAAAAGGATTAAGGCAATTGCTATGGGGAATTAATGCAATCGCTGCTGTTCTTCGTCCACAGTTTTAATTGGCTACATGAATACTCCTGAACCAATAGGGCAGAGTACCCTCCAAGGAAATACTCAGATTTCAAAGAAGACAAAAAGAAATATAAAATTTAAACTATAGATGAATTCAATGAAGCTTCAGTTAAGTGAGCAGGTAGGACAAATTTTTATGCTTCGGGCTGAATGTTAATTATTTTTTAAAGACTACTTTGATATGGTATTCTAATGGGTAATAGGACTGTAGTTACATAACCTCATGAGTACAGGAGCTTCAAGATAAGGTAGTGCTTCAAGACAGATTGACCTACAACCCCTCACATAATCTTTGCTAGAACTGAAAAAATTAAACTCTGTGCAGTTTTAGAACATGCAAGTCAGAGCTAGTACTTCATATTTGGAAATAATTCCATGGTAAGAACTTTTAAAATAAATAATTTTCATCTTTAACATCCCCTCCCTGCAATGGATAGATTTTGCCAAGTCTTATAAATAAAATATTTGTTTTCTCAAAAATCTCTGAAATGGCAAGAAGGCTCTCCTAGATAGACAACGTTCAATTACTCTTTCTGCCAATTAGTCCCAGATGTTCACAAAGAAACGTGGGGCTTATTAGTATTCACAAACAAGATTTTCTCCCCTAAGAAAATCATAGTTTTTTTTTTTTCAGAGTTGAAAGTGAATTTGCTGCTATAGTTTCTCATCTGGAGTTTTTCCCTGTGTTGTTTTGCAGCTAATTAAAAGTTTCTGACTGGGGAGTCTCCCTCCTAAAAAAAACACCCCCTCTTCTCTCCAAAAGAACATATTGAAATTCTCTTTAAATGTTTGTTTTTGTACCTTGAGAAATATAATTGTTTTGAATCGAAAACTTTCAACCAGGAAACTCTGACCTCCAAAATGAACACTGGAATCACTACAGCACTCCACTCTCTTCGAACAGTGAAAGAGAAGGATAAACCATGCCTTGCACGGTGGGGTGGGGCACCCACTAAACAACTTGGATTTTGTCATTGATTATCACTGTCCTAACCAACAAAAGGCAAATGCCTTGTGGGTAGGAAAAAAGAAAGGGATGTGATCAGCACACAACCAGATACATTTCACAGGACAAATGAAAGATCCTGGAGAGACAAAAATATGAAATTTGGAACCGATGATACTGGTTTCCCCACATAAATAATGTGATAGATATTATCTCATAATCAGGTCCCTCAGAGCCACAACTTTTTTAATTGGTTTGTCCCAAAAGGTGTCTGAAATGGCAATGACATAAGAACACTTGCATGTATGCTTCTGATTCCCTACTTAAATAAAGGGAAAAACTAGGTTACTCATATCTGGGAATCAGTTCTCCGAGACCCCCTTTTGTCGACTGGCTGTTGGGTTTGTCTTGAAAGGTCTGTGAAATGGTTAAGAGCTAGAAATGCAACATGTAGGCGCTGTCGCCACTGATTTCTCAGCTTGCAGAGGCGGATTGGTTACACCTCAAAATAAATTCTTCTGTTCATTTGTCCTGAAAGAACTCTGAAACAGTATGACATGAAATTTTGCATGGATATCATCGAGTCGCATTGCCGGTTTAAACAAATGTGCTGGTTATACCTCAATGTTGGCTTCTCCAGAGCCCCCGTAGGGCCCACTGATAATTAGCTGTTCGTAGTACCTGATTGTGAGTGGGACTCTTCCCTTAGGTTGGCCACAAACAAATTAAGTATCAAGTGCAGAGAGAGAGGAAGAGACTCTCTCCCCCCCCAAAAAAGCTGGGTTGGGAAAATAAAAGCAACTCATTTTTATTTTTAACTTGGGCGCATGAAAGTGAGTACCGGGCAGAAGGAGAAAAAAAAACAATGTGAAAAATGTTGGGTGGGAGAAAAACTATGAAGCACCGGTGACAGGAATGAGTAAGTGGGTGGAACAAACATATTTCTAACCCGGGCATAGCCATGTATATTTGCCGGTACTTTATCAATTGTAACTTAAGATAAGCTATTTTAGGTGAGACACTCTTGTTAAGTGTGACTAAGTATTCTAAATTCTAGATCTAATCCAGTTTAATTTACCTGTATTTCAGAGTTTTAATTGTTACATTCCAGAACTTTCTCTTCAGACAAAGCATTTTTTTTTCAAATTGGATTGTTTTGCTCTGTTGCTATTCAGTGTGTTTTTATTATTACTTTTATTTAAATATGATACTTGTTTACATATTTTTATCTGTGTATTTACTGTTTTTAGCTATTAAATGTTATTCTTTTAATGTTGTAAGCTGCCTTGGGTCCTTTTGGATAGAAAGGTGGGGTAAAAATATTTTAAATAAATAAATAATAACATTTTAAAGCCAATAATATGTGGATCTGGAACACGTCTGTAAGGTCCAGAAGTTGTACCAGGTGTTTGCGAGGGAGAAGAAAAATCAAGAATCTGCACTGCATGTTTGTAGAATATATACTTGCACTTTCACAAGCTTAATTTTCTGGCTGAAGAAATGGCATTTTTGTTCAGTGTTCAACCTCCCCAAGGAGGAAACTGAGATGCGCCTGTAATGCTTGACTGCACAGTGTTTTAAGAGTCCAAGACTACAGTTGAGCTAAAAATAGCCATTTATAAAAACCAGGTCTTAAATACAGCCCTTTATCCTCCCTCCCCCTTGTAATTTCTCACTTCACAGCTGTCCCCTCATTCACAAAGAGAGCCCTTTTCACACAGCCGTTCCCTTCCCCTCCCCTACCCCCATCTAAAATAAGACAAGCACTAGTGGTTCTATTTACAAGTCACAAAAAACGGGAAAAAGTGAGTCCAGAGGATGGAGAAAGAGGGCAGACATGTAGAAGGGGGAAGGTGTGTTCCTTCTGCCCCCTAGAGGTGGGTGGAGGTATTTGTCTGAGTGTGGGGTGTGCATGGGGTGTCTCTCATTGCAGAATGAGAGAAACAGACGTTGTTTTTTCTTTCAAATGATTTTTAGGAAGTGTTGCTGCTGTCACTTCTGCTTTTGATGCAATATTCCCACGGCTTTTTGGGTAAGCCCGGGATGGACAAAAGGATGAAGCAGCCGCCTCCAAAGATCAGGACAGCACCGGCAGCTGCTGCACAAGCCACCGACCAGGAGTACTCGTACTCCAGAGGGATGGTTTCATCTGAAGTGATGAGCCACCGTACTGACTGTCGGAAAATCTCCAGAGATACCAGAACCATCAAGCCTGGAGGAACAGAGAAAAGAGTACTGGCAGTTACACTTGGCTCCAATCCCCTCTGCCCACCCTGGACGGAGCCCCTTCTTGGAACTTCTGGAAGCGAACTAAAACTACAGATAAGAAGTATCGAAACATTTTTCTATGGACACTTGCTTAGAGGTAACTGGACCACATGGAAGTGCTTTGAATGGCGTCACTCAATAGTCTATAGCTGGAGCCCAGTACTGTATATTCAATTCAGTTTCTAGGAATGACGTGGTTAAAGGAATGTTTGTCCTGCTACAGGAAGTGATGGTGTGAAGGCAGACCTAACTGGATGCTGGAAGTTGTCCCTAACCAAAGGAAGGGCATTTTTCAGAGGCCCCTTACCTGATACAATGAAAAAACAGGATGCTGGTTTCAGAAGGAACTCGACCCCTTTGCTCAGAGCCATTGTGATGCACAGCGATCCCATGGCCATGAAGGTAATGCTGAGTAGGGACACAACAGCTGCCGTGATGTTCAGTTCTACACAAAGTTGTCAGGCAGGGGAGAAAAACAGTCGTTTCATAACCCTAAATACAGTATTTTACAGGTGATAATAACAGTGCATTCCCAAGACCTTCTATTGTTTTTACTTCTTGCATGACACACCAGGAAAGAAGTAAAACAGAATTACACAGACATGCACACTCGTGTGTAATATTATAAGTAGGACATAAGGACAAACTGAATTTTGAGGAAGTTTTTTGGAGGCCAGACTTTACTGGCAGGTGGGATGAAAGGGGAAAGGATGTGACTGAAAAGTCCCAGCTTATTTTTGCTTAAAGCCCTTGCCAACTAATGCTTAAAAGCGGCATTTCAATGGAGAAAAAGCATGGATGCTAGATCAAATCATCACCAAGTAAAGCTGTCATGGGGAGGGGAGAATGGCCATTTGGGGAATCTCAGAAGATCAAATTGGAATTCCAGAAGAGCCAAATTTGGCATCAGAGCTTTCCTCTCCTCTATTCTAATTGGTTGTTATGCCATGTGCATTATTTACAGCCTACAGACTGACATAGAGGCACAGATGAAGTTAGATGCCAGTTCATCCACCATTATTAGTTGCTGTGTGAACCCACATCCATATTTTAAAACTGATGAATTCCTATGGCAAACTACAGATTTAAAGTAAAATACCTGCATATTGCAAATGGAATTTTAATTTTTTAATTCAGGAGCCAAAGAGTTACAAAACCGACTGACTATGTATGAAAATGACAGAATTTGGTGTCTTACTCATGGCAGTTACAGAGACCATGGAGGTGTAGAAAATATCAGTTAACTTGTAATGTCAGTTTGAATTGCAAAAATATTAAAGTTCAATGAATTGAAGTTGAGGCTCATTGCACGTTTGAGAATTACAATTCTGCTAGATCCTACTAAAATCTTATTTATGAATGAAATAATACTGAGTTTTCAACAGCACCACTAGCCAAGATATGAAAGACTTTTGAATCTGTATGCTCTTACTCTTTCTTTCTTAGTATTCAACAATTTACCAGAACCCTCCAATTAACCATAATGTCCTATTACTGTACATTGGCAAGGTTTTTGAGGTTAAAATCAAACTCATAAACCAGCTTTAAGATCCTGGCTTATTCTGAAATAGGAAATGATAGTTTCCAGGTTTGGACATCATAGGAGGCTATAGCTTAAGAGATAAGAAAAGAAATAGAAAAGGGAAAAATGCAAGGATGAGGCGTAGGTAAAAGCCATGCTTGTATTTGGTCTTACAAAATCAAGATACTATCAATCAAAGACATCCTGCCTCTCTCTTAAGTTGTCTAGCAGAACTATTGTGACAATAAAATGGAGTAGTGGTAATGGTGAGAACCAGATCCTATGCTATTTGTGGGACATGAAATAAATTAATAGGAATTCTTTATTTTATTACTGGCATTTTGCAGAATGGGCTCATGTGGCTATTTTTGTTTTGTTTTGTTTTAAATTCAATAAAGAACTTACCTTTTTTAGTAGATCTTTGGAAGATGTGGGCATTCTCCCCAGTGGTGAAAAATTTGAAATATGAACAGTTAGCTTCTGAAAAGAAAAAAAGAAGAAATGTCCTTTTTAAAAATAGAGAGACAGCAGAAGGTAGAGGCACAGTGAGGCAGAAATGCTGTTTGAGGAAACAGTTGACAAACAGTTGCAAAGGCTGAAGTTGTGACAATTACACAAAGACAAATATTTATTTAATTGGGATACTTTGTTCTAAAATTGCACAATATGTTTTCAGTGTTCTTCCAAATAATTTGGTTTCCCCTTCGTTCAATTTTAACTGTGGAGAAAGTAAGGAGTGGAACAATTAAAGGTGCTAATATTTTCTTACGCACCCTCTAGGTTGTTCCACACATTATCCAACTTCTTAACAAAAGCCAGGAGAAACACACAACTATCACAACCCTGCTATGGACACTTCTAAATGACAGGATTTAGACTAATGTAACTACGGTCCCAAGGAACTGTAATTCAATCACTAACTAAGAACTCTCAACACCTTCTGTGGTTGCAAAAATTCCATGCGGGAAATCCCATTATTAAAACAGTAGAAAAATTATGTGAGCTGGAATTGTACACATGCCATCTTTTGATAAGGGAACATGCAGCATAGAAAATGTGTAGCAACAAGTATGACTTTAAGCAAAGATACACAGTCTATCTTCTTCCACAATTCTCCACAGGCCTACCAAAAATCCCGTATCATTGCCCAGAGGAGGCAATGATACAGGATTTTTGGTAGGCCTGTGGAGAATTGTGGAAGAAGATAGACTGTTTATCTTTGCTTAAAGTCACACTTGTTGCTACACATCTTCTATCTATATCTATTCAGGGCATACGCTTCCAAAATATCTCTTAACATCTCAAACTTCTTAACAAAAGCCAGGAGAAACACACAACTATCACAACCCTGCTATGGACACTTCTAAATGACAGGATTTAGACTAATGTAACTACGGTCCCAAGGAACTGTAATTCAATCACTAACTAAGAACTCTCAACACCTTCTGTGGTTGCAAAAATTCCATGCGGGAAATCCCATTATTAAAACAGTAGAAAAATTATGTGAGCTGGAATTGTACACATACCGTCTATTGATAAGGGAACATGCAGCATAGAAAATGTGTAGCAACAAGTGTGACTTTAAGCAAAGATAAACAGTCTATCTTCTTCCACAATTCTCCACAGGCCTACCAAAAATCCCGTATCATTGCCCAGAGGAGGAAACTATCTATTCAGGGCATATGCTTCCAAAATATCTCTTAACATCTCAAAAAGATAAACAGTCTATCTTCTTCCACAATTCTCCACAGGCCTACCAAAAATCCCGTATCATTGCCCAGAGGAGGAAACTATCTATTCAGGGCATATGCTTCCAAAATATCTCTTAACATCTCAAACAACTTCATATATTACTAACTTTACAGAGTGGTGCAATGGAGCCAGGGCTCAGAAGATTGAAACCTGGGATTTGCTCGGTAGCTAGGAAGTATTATATTACGTACCAATACCCCTAAGGCCATTCTATTCCTTCTAAACTTACCTGCAGTCCTCACAGAAACTGAGAAAGAAATGGATTTTTCCAGAATCTGTACCCTTTTTTTGTTGCAAGCTTTGCTTGGAGTCATGCAAAACATTTGAAAGCAAATGGGTCTTGAATAAGTAATCAAGAGGCACTAGCTTTACAAAACACCTCAGTTGTTGATACAGATGGATCTAGCAGCCTTCATCCTTTAATCTCTTGGTGAGAAAGCTGATTACAGGATTCATCATAAAAAGTATCATCTGAACGTTCAAATTTTCTACTACATCACTGACTTTGTATACTATATACTACATAGAACTTAAAACTTGTCAAGTGGTTTTGTCATGAGGCCCCATAATATATAGTAAAAGGATAGCAATACTTTTTTTAACCACACTTACATTCTTTGGCTAGCTGGGAAAGGCCTTAGCGATGCATAGTTTGGATGTCCGTGTTGTACGTATATGTAGTGCATCTGGTAATTTGGAGTGTGTGTGAAGTGGTTCAAAGAACTAGCAACTTGCTCACCCTCTCCCTGCAACACACTTCTAAAAAAGAGTGGTTTCCACAAACAGTACATGTTTCTGTGCCATGTACACTCCAGCTGATTACTAGTTTGTATTTTAAATGCCCACATAATGTCCTAGTAGGTATAAAAGTTAAGTGAAACTGGGAATTTTGGTTGATAAACCTGGAAGAGGCTGCAATGTTTTTTTTTTTAAGTCAGCCCACCAGTCTGAACTGCACGAATGTTTGGAAGGGACCCAATTTCCAGAGCCTGGTAGTCTAAGCAGGGAGCTGGGGCAAAACAAGGTTCCTCGCTTCTCAGGCCTGAGGGCTTATCCTTTCTAAATTCCTTCCTTGCCTAGCGGAGTGGTTTTAATTGTGTCCCCAGGGAGAGAAGCATTTCGCAATTACTGCAGTCTTTGCAGCCGGACAAATTCCAAGTAGCCTTGGGCTCTGTTTGTGCGCATGTGCATGAGACATTTATATGAAAGATGAGTGTACTTAAATAGGCCATCATTCAAGATTATTGGCTCCCTGGTCCTCCTCTCAATCCCTCCGTGTCCACATCATCAGATGTTTTCCCGCCAGAATTCTGTATGTGGTTAATTTATCTGACAGAGCCTTGCTTATAATTTTGAAACCCAACTGAGTATTCCCAAAATGTTTGTAGTGTGAGAAGATGTGCTACAGATAGAGAACAGAGCTCTGATACTTGAGCAGAACAGACTTTAGGTGGTGCATCTTGTCATGCCACAGAGTTTGAGGGTAAGGAAAGGAATAGTCAGGGACCGAACCGGGTGGGTGGAGATCAAATTCCTATTTAATTAAAAAGAAAAGAAAAATGAACTAGAAGGACTCTGAAGTTTATCCTGACGGATGTAAGAGTGTTTGGAGAAGAGAACCGTTAGGGTTGGTATCAACAGTTAGTCCCCTTGGGCAGAGGTCCCCAACCCCCGGTCCACGGCCCGGTGCTGGTCCGTGGCGTGAGCCAGACTGAGCCACCGAGACAGACCTCCTGCTCCACCCCCTGCACGTACTCATCCCCGCACAGCCCGTTTGCACCTGTGCGTGCTCCAGCACACCTGTGCGAGCGCCACTGTTTGTGCATGGGCACGAGTGCACCCATGCCCAGACAAGCACCACACTGCCGTGGTTGTGCGTGCGTGCAAAGTGGCATGCACTTGCACGGGGGCACGCTCGTGCAGGAGAGAGAGAGCGCTTGTTCATGCATGCGCATGAGCGGGGGGTCCCCCGCCTTCCCCAGCCAGTGCTTGGACTGAAAAAGGTTGGGGACCACTGCCCTTGGGAACCTGCTGTCGTAAGACCACCAAGCAGCCATTTTAGTTCCTCACAGTTCTTTTGATGCAGTGCTACTCTAGACACTCTGCCCAGACATTAGCCAGGGAGATGTGCTGCTGAGGGCTATCAGCGTCTGGGGAGGGGACATCAGGAAAGAGGCATTTTGCCAAGGGCTGCTCCAGACCTCTGTCTGTCTGTCTGTCTGTCTGTCTGTCTGGGCAGCATAAAATAAGAAACAGACAATAGTGCACCTTGAACAGAAGCTCATGAGGGACTTTTTGGTCAGTACCAGAACTGGACCCACAGACCTTTCACACAAAAGCCCAATCCTGTGTTTCCCTCTCTTCCTTTTTCTAACATCAGTAGCTTTAGAAAAAAAAATGGGAAAACTTCTTCCTTGCTGTAAAGTAACTGCTGAGCTGAACTGAACCTGGTCCAATCTATCAAATATACTGAAGAGGCTTCTGCAGTACAACCCTTGAACCAAACAGCATCTATTATTTGAAATGCTGGGCAAAGATTGAAATAGGAAATGCACATTGAAACCTTACCCAGAGACAAAAATAATGAGATGAAAGGGGATTCAGCTGAGAATTCCACTTTTGCTCCAAAGTCCTTTAATGTCAGTTCTAATTCTGAAATTGTGAGTTACCTCATGCTGAAAAGAAGCTGTGCCTTTCTAAATGTCTTTTAGAACAGAATAAGTAGAGAACACAGAATGCTATGCGAAGAAACTATGTAAATTAGTGATAGGAAAAGCACACAAAATAACACAAAGAACCACAGAGGTTCTCTGTGTTACACAGCTCATTTGGAGTGGCTGGCGTAAGGTGTGTAGATTGCCATGTAGTGTGATCAATAAACCTCAAGTGACCCTATTTAGCTCACTTCCTTTAAGAAAAGTCTTCCTTGCCCCCTTGTATCGCCTCCCACTTCCTGGGTTAAGCTTTCTATTTTTTTCTCCCCCCCCTCAAAAAAAAGTATAGTGGCTGGAGGAGCAGAGGAAGGAGGTTTTTCAATGTCCTAATTTCCCAATATCATTAAGTGGTTAAGCTGTCTGTTTAAGCCACTAATAATGCTGGGAAAATTGACACCAGCTGGAAAATTAAAAGCAGGAAGCTGCACTATGGTTTAATCTCAGCAATCACATGTCCTGGAAATGAACCAAAATGGGGCAATCCTACTTGCAGCTAAAAACAGAGCAACCGCTGACAGGGGCCCAGAAAGGTACAGAAATGCTCTGGGGGTGAGCTGGTTCATTCTAGCAATTATGTCATCGGATCACTAGCAAAAGGAGAAAACTAGACTATTGCTGCAGCAAATCCTCCAAGTCAGTGAGTTCATCTTGGATTAAACCGGTTTGGGATAAGCGGAAGTTTTTCCCAAACTGGGAAATAGCATGACTTCCTTCCATGCCAATCTGAACTGATTTCCAGTTGAATATATTGGAGAGAAGGAAGGCTGGTTGGGGCTCCCTGGGGGCTGAGGGGTAGAAAAAAAGGAGTGGAGTTCTTTTATAGCTCACACTAAAATCAGAGCCAGAGGAATATTTAGTGTAATAAGTGACACAAACTTTATAAGATCTCAAGACCTACAACTTCCATGTTAGGAAATGCAATCCTTGGTGGCATCCCTAATGGAGATAAAATAACTTCCTGTGATAATGTATGAAATGACACAAGGGCAATTTATGAACTCACTGGAATAAAAA